GGCGGGGTGACCGGGGCCCCAGGCGGCGCTTACCTGCGCGTCCCGGGGCTCCGCAGCGGCACTCGGCGAGTCTCGGGGGACCGTAGGGGATTTGGGGATCGCAGGGCCTACTGCGGGCTGTCGGCCGCGCTTGGCCCCAAACCCGAGAACCAGGCAAGGGCACCAAACCGCCTTCACGCGGCAGCCCTGGATTAACCCTGTACAGGGGGCGGGGCGCGGCCGAAGGCGAACTTGACCCGGGTTTCCCGAGCTTCCCGCGGGGGCTGACCCGGAGGGCAACGGCTTCACGCCCCGCCTCCTCGCTGGGGGCCCGCCCCTGCCCCATGCCCCGCCCACTCCTCCAGCCTGCCTGCTGGCTCCCAAGGGCTAAGCCCCACACAGCTTTTTATTTTCCTGTGTTTTTTATTCCGTTTGTTTCTTAGTTTTATTTAATTTTACTTTCTCTTTTAAAGGATAAATTTGAAAAAAAAGCAACCCAGCGGAATGCACACAGGGCTTTTACAAGATGCAATTGTCTAGCTGTGCTTATAAGGGAGGAAACAGGCCCCTCTTCTCTGCTCCCACCTACAGCCCTTTGTATTGGTTCCTCAGTTTAGTTCTTCTGGTGGTCACCCCCTGGTCGCTAAAGAATAAGCTTACATAGCGATTTCTTGATTTATCCATTGACTTTCTGCCATGTTAGATGAGGATTTACTCTCTTACTGCGCCTCTGCTTCCTGCTCCTGACAAATTTACACCTCTGTTGGCCAGCCCTGCCCTGTGAGTGCTGAGACCGGCAACCTGAGTGGATGTGGGGTTTCTGGGGCCTGAGGGAACGGTGGGAGAAGGAAGGCGGGAGAGGGCCCTTTTAAAGCGAATATAGAATCAGGGCTTGCAGGTAAACGTTTATTTACGATGAGAAAAGAAATCATAAAAAAATCCTGAGGTCTAGAGGTTTAAGTCCCTCTCTCCTGCTCTACTTAGGTAATTTACATCCTGAATTTGCTTTCCAATGCTCTCTCTCTTCCTCTGCCCACCCAGAGACCTCCATAGCCCCTAACACTCTGAGGGGCCTCTCTGGGAGGGACCCCGAAAGTCAAGATTCACCAACTTTTGCCAATATGATTTTCAAATGGAGTGAATTGGAGTGTACAAAAAGCAGAGGCGTCAAGGCTGGTGCCCAGGTTTTGTGATGGCCATGTGCTTAGTTTCCAGCTTTTCCTGGCTGGTGACAAGTACCTTATTTGGGGGAGTGTACTGTCATGCTGCTCTGGGCCCTGCCCTTGTCTCCAGAGCCTCCCAGTGTCCCCATGAGGTTGGCCAGGCAAGCACATTGTCCCCACTCGCCCCTCTTGTTTTAGCATGGGGGGGCACACAGCGAGCACCGAGGTGAGGAGTGGCGCCCTGTCCCTCCTACCTACAATATGCAGTGTGGCTCACAGGTTGATCTCTCCAAGCTTCAGTTTCCCTTCCTGTGACTGGAGGTAGCAACCCCGACCGTACTGGGTTTTGGGAGATCTAAGTATAAAGGGATAATGGCCCTTCCTGTCCTCTTACTGGTAAGTCAGTGCAGTCTCCCCACAGGGTGGGAGGCTCATGAGAAAGTCCAGCGATGGTGAGAGTCTGTGGGCAGCATGTGGTACTGCAGGTTAGCTAGAGCCCTTGAGTCGAGGGCCAAGTCACTCTGAGCCAGGGCCCTAGTCTGGGGGGTGGGGGAGAAGCTGGACACAGACAGTGAGGAGACTGGGCGATGACCTCCTCATGGAAGGGAAGCTGTCTTTTCTTGGGGGTAGTGAAGTCTAAGGCTTGGTCTAGGAGGAGGACGGGGTTCCTTATGATCAAAGGTAAAAACCTCCGTAATAGCCAAGGTTGACCTAACCTAAGTGGGGTGGGGTGCACTCCCTCTGAGAAGAGGATTAGTTCTTAATTTGGTGTTTTTTGTTTGTTTGTTTGTTTTTGTTCATAGAGCATGTAGGCTTTCTGGAGAAGGAGAGGCAGAGCGAAGGAAAGAGAAAAAGTATCCCTCGGGGGCTGGCCACACCATAGTCCCTTATCCTATCCTGCATTCTCCTCTCAGGCCTTTTGGACATGCATGTACATATGCTTGGCATGTTTTTCAAACCAATGGGTGTGGAGCTTGAATCACAAGGTTGGTCACATGAGACCCAGCCTCCTTAACTACCATACTACTCACTGGCCCAGCTCTTCATTGTTTAGAAGGAGGAATATCTAGACACAAGTCATGTCTTCTGTTTAAGATTACAAAGTGCTACTGGATCCTGTGTATTCTTGGGGAGGAAAAATACTTTCCTCTCAACCCTAATAAGTTTGTAGTTGGGACAGACCCAGGGAACAAAAGACAGATGAATAAGATAAAAGCAAGCCTGTTTACTACTGCGTACAGTGCATGTCTCAGGGGACGCGCCCCAGTGAAAGGTAACTGAAAGCAGCGGCTTTGGACTCTGACTTTCAGACCATCTTCAACAAAGAGCAGTGAAAGGAGTCGCAGGACAAAGGGAAGAGATCAGAGATCTACAGCAGCAAATTGTAGGAAGGCAAATATACAGGGAAGCTGATGTTTCACTAGGACCATGGGGCAGTACCAAACATCCAGATGACTGAGGGTCATAGTCTTGGGTGTAGAACTCTGTCCTGAGAACATTCTGGGAAACTCACTTCTGAACGGGTTGTGATGGGACCACAGGCTAAGGCAGCCTCTGTGTTGGGGGGTGGGGGGGAGCTATTTTTCAGTTTCTAAGCTCCCACCGAGAAAGAGCAAGCTTTAGCTGGATAAAATGAAATGCGTAAGGGAGATTGGTAGATTTTTAAAATAATCAAAGAGGGCAAACTTTTCAATGCCAGTGAGCCCTTCCAAAGTTGAATGTTTTCTTATGATCAGGGAACAGATCATGCTAATGCCAGGTCTTTCTAACGTGGCCCTCTAAGCAGGCCTCCATTAGAAAGCTTCCATCTGTCTATTTGACACCACTGGCCGTATTTACTGTTGAGCCAAATGATCTGTAGACAACGTCCCCTGCCCAAAAGCCTCTCGTGGCCTCCACCACAATTAGGATTACATCTCAACCCCCCACCCACCCAACAGCCTGAGAGGCCCTCATAGCATCTGCCCTGATAAGCCCTCTGACCATGGGCCATCCCTTACCTCTAGCTCCTTGGCTTAGCTGCTGTTCCTTGACTACACTGGGTCTATTTGCATCCCAGAGCCGTGTCATCACCACTTTCACTGGCCGCACACTATGCTCCCCTTCCCCTCCTAACTTGAGCAGTTTTCTGGATAGATCACCCTCCCTATCTAACAGACACACACTCCAGGGCCCCACCCCTGTCATAGTATTTATCTCCTGTCATTGAAGTAGGCTTTTATCTACTTGTCTCTCTCATGTAAGTGTAGGGTCCCAAAGGGACTAAGTCCTTATTTATTTATTTAAAAGTTGACTCATTTATTTCTTCCGAGAGAGAGAGCGCCAGTATTCCCAATAGGATCTCGATGCTATAATCCCACCCCAGCCTTTGGCCCAGTCCTGGATCATGGGCAAATATGTGCTTGGCATACTCAGAGAGATCTCTGGACTTGAACTGGGAACCTTCCCATGTGGCATTGCCTTGCAGAGTATGGTATTTTACGACAGCACCACAGTCTGGCCCCTGAAAAGCTGAGTCCTTATTGCTTTTGTTCCTTAACATAGCCCTTTCCCAGAATAGTACCTAGCAGCTCATAGGTGTTCAATAAATATTTGTTGAATGAATAGATGAGTTGAATTGAGTGAAAGAAAAGTAAGATCAGTAAATATACAGATTAAAAAATGCTCTAGCTGCAGACTTTCAACTAATCTAGACTGAATTCCCCTCAAATTGGGAAGATTTATCAGAACAGAAAGAGAAAAAAGAAAGAGAAAAAAGGAAAAAAAATTACAATGCTCAGCTGCATTATATAATCCTATTTATAATTACGGGTTGAGTATTAGACGGAGGACTATTTTCTATTTGACCCAATGTGTGTGTTAAATATTTAAGCAAAGGTTGGCTTGAAAGGCTACGTGCTCACTTAAAAATAGTAAAAAGAAAAAAGGTTCCCCTAGTCATTTTAATAATTCAGAATGGTGTTCTGTGGTTTCTCTTGGTGTTTGAGAGCCCAAGATGGTAACTGGTTACCTGAAAATAGAAGCCTTGATCAAATATTTAAGATCTCACTGATTTTCATTTTTCTGCATATTTTCTATTTCTACTTCACCTTTTTTTTTTTCCTACTCATTCCGTCATCACACAATTCACACACTAAAGTTAATAGAAATACTTCATGGATTATTAAATGCAGCTAAGCAATGAACTTTTGCTAGAGCATAAGGCCAAAGTGGGGCCACTTTTGTTCTAGCAAAGTAATTTTTCCTTGAAAGTACGAACTACGAATTTAGAGGCCTTTACCCTGTATTCTGAACTTTTGTAAGGCAGATGCATGTTTTCTGCAGAAAAGCTTTAAAGTGGAAAACAAACAAGAAGTCTTATCATCACGAACAGCTGAAACTATAGAATTGTAAACACATCCTTGAAATTCTGGCAGGAAGACAATGAAAAGTACCTGCTTGCTAGTGAGACATTCGTTCCAATGGCACCAGCCGCAGCGTGAATTTTTGTTAGTGTCCACCTAGGCTTAATCGTCTAGGGAATGTTCCCGTAGCAGCCTCGTCAGCCTGTAAGCTGTCTCTATTAATGAAACTTTTGTATTCCATTCTGCTGCTAAAACCCTAATAATCTAATGTTTGATATCCATTTGGGCCTACTTAGTTTAAAGAGAGTCTTTTTGGAAGTGATCAAAGTTATAATCCCTTGTTTACAATGGAAGACAACATTCTAGAAATAACCCATCATTTTGCAATGAGAAGAGAGTACCCAAAAAGATTAATTTTTTTTTTTTTTTTTTTTTTTTTGCTACTGTACACTGTTGGCCAGTGAGGGGATTGAAGCCGGGATTTTTGTTGTTGTTCTTACACGTGACAAAGTCATCTCCATTAACTGGGTAGAAAGGAGTTTATTGATAAGATGGGGCCTTTTGAACTTCCAGGAAAGTTGTAGAGCCAGGCTTAGAAAGCAGCTCTTAGAAAGCAGCTTTGAAAAGCTATAAAGTGAAAAATCCTTGGAATAGTCTCTTAGTAGAAATGGTCTAGTCAGGGTGATACTGTAGGGTTAGGTAATTAATTTCCTTGTTTCACTCATGCATGAGTCAAAGTCTTGGTAGAAGCCCTCTTATTGGTCAAAATTAGGATGCACTCCTCTGGCTATCCTGGGGAACATGTGAGCAA